GGAGGATTGATGTTCACTTGAGCTTTATAGTGGAAAAACTATCTAAAAAAGCAAAACAACCAGGCATGAGGACACAGGCCTTTAATTCTAGCACTCGAGAGGCAGATGCAGGCAGATCTCTATGAGATCAAGGCCAGCCTTGTCTACATAGCAAGTTCCAGGTCAGCTGGGACTACAGGAAGACCTTGTCTCAAAAACACCAAAAGAACTAACAAAACCAAACAAACAAAAAAATTACAAAAGAGTTGGTCAGAGTAACTACATAATTGAAGACAAATTTGTTTTTAGGATGTTACAAGAATATTATCTTGCTGGACGGATGTATTAATAGGGATATTAAAATTAAAATAAGGCTGAGTGCATAGCATAGCCTGTACAAAGACCAAAACATCCACTAAAAACAAATTCCAAAGTATTTGCAAATGAACTGGGCATGGCACACACCTTTAATCCTACAGAGGGAGTCCAGGTCAGGAGTCCAGGTCAGCTGGGGCTACAGGGAGACTCTGACTCAATGGGGACTTGCTATTTAAAAAAAAAAAAAAAAAAAAAAAAAAGAAAGAAAGAAAGAAACAGTATCTGCAAATGAGCTCAAATGAGCTCATGTGCAGAATATTAGACCATAAGAATAAGCCTCATTTAAAGATTACTGAGGACTAAGCAGGCTGTTTTGTTCAATGCACAGAAACACTGAAGCATATTCATCCAAAAGAATTTGATAAATTAATTAAAGCAGATTTTAGGATTGGAAAAACCTAAGACTTAAATTTTACAAACAGCCTAAAACAAATTAGAGTATAATCTTTAAAGCCTAAGCCATGACAGTTTTAGATATAATTTTGATAAAATATTTCATTTTTTCTTAGATATAAGCACCAAAATTAAGAAGTGATTCCCTGCAATTTCTGTTGCTTTTCATTTATATTTAATATAATCTGTGATTAATCTTTTGGTTTCATATGGTGGTTATACCATGAAAAGCTGAAGGTTTGGTATATTTTTCCTATGCATAAATAATGTGACATTATATTGTGACATTATATAACATTATTGATGACTTCCCTTCATGGGGGTTGAAAAGAAATGACAGTGAGGGAGGATGTAGTATGTGGGTATCTTTCAAGGACACTCCGTAGTCATCAGCTAAGACTGTTAACATCTCTTATCAGTTTCTCTATATGTAAAAATTCATGCCCAGCTCATATGCTATGCACACTTAAGGAATTAATATGTTGTATTGTTGAGAGCAATGCTGGAGTCAGGTGTGGTGCACCTGTATACTCAGAACTCAGGAAGGAGTCTGAGACAGGAGGACCTCAAGTTCAAGACAGCCCAAGTTAGATGGTATATTTATATGTGTTCGTGTGAATGTGTGCACATATTTATGTAAGTATACATATGTGTATGTGCACATGTATTTGGAAGTTAGAAGTCAGTGTTAGGTGTCTTTCTTGAAAGCTCTCTCCCTTAATTTTTGAAGCAAGAACTCTCAATGAACTTGGAATTCAGATTTAGCTAGGCTGGCTGGGGTGAATTCCAGGAGACCTAGTTTCTCTCCTCTCTCTCCCTCCAATGCTGTTGGAGACTTAGCCACTTCCCCAGCCCTTTAGATTTTTAATTTGATCTGTATCAGCAACAAATCCAGCAGGTCAAAAATTAAATTGTTATTTGACATGTCAAGATTTTTGAACAATTGACATTCTAAGAATCAAAACATGGCCTTTAAAAACAGTAGCACTACACCGACTCTGCCAAAAAGTTCATGTTGTAAAACATACCCTCTGGGAAATAGTTGGATCAACTTTACAGTTATACTAATTCACTGAATCCAGTCACAATTGTTGAATAAACAATTTAACTTTACACAAGACATGGGAGATGAGAGATGTAATAGATACTTGGAAAGAATGTAAAGTTATTTTTCACAGTTCTCACAGTAAAAAGGAGTCTGAGATGCATAGGAAACAGTATGCACAAGACCTATCTTAATTCTAAAACTTTTCTAATTCTGTGGAATAGTTAATTAATTTAGTTTTTTTTTTTTTTTTTTTGAGACAGGGGCTCCCTGTAGCCCCAGCTGTCCTGGAACTCACTATGTAGACCAGGCTGGCCTTGAACTCACAGATATCCACCTGCCTCTGCCTCCTGAGTGCTGGAATTAAAGGCGTGCGCCACCGCGCCTGGCAATTTAGCTTTTATCTTTGTATATTTTACTTGCCACAGTACAGAGTACACTTGTGCCTCTAGTGCTCTAAAAATATTTGAAATAGATGGCATGTAGAAATTTGTGTTCTTATGCACTTACAGCAAAGTCTATTTTTAAAATTATGTGAAATTCATTTCATTACATTTTATTTATTTATTTGTGTGGGGTCTTTTTTCTGTGCATATGCAAGCATACATGTGCTTGCCATAAGCACGTGTGGAGGTCAGAGGACAATCTTCAGGACTAGGTTCTCCCCTTCTACCATGTGGATCCCAAGGATCAAACTCAGCTCAGTGGGCTTGGCAGGGGGAAGTGCCTTTATCTGCTGAGCCATCCGGCCAGTCTGGACTTTGCATGACAGGGTCTACCTAGTCCCAGCCCACCTGGAAGTGGCTATGTGGATCATCTCACAGAGATCCACTTGCCTCTGCCTCATGGGGGTTGGGATTAAAGATGTGGGCCACCCAGATGGAATTTATTTTTAATGAGCTTCAATATATGGAAAAAAACCAAAAGTACACCCAGATTCAAACTCAAGACACAATAAGAATTTGGGGAATCTAATGAAAAGAAGCTGTGCATTAAGGAGATAATAGAGTCAGTGGAAACATGACATGCTTTCTTTATAACTACCAGATCAAGGGAAATGCAAACTGCATATTGGCTAAAGTAGCTGATCCTTCAACATTTAAAATTGATTCCCACATATAGGAGTTACAGTTTATTAAAGCTACCCTCCATCACTAATGACAAATTGCCACATTAATAGGAAGTCACTTGGTAATCATTCCCATTTAAAGCTTACCACCTCACTCCCCATCTCTTGCAAAGACTAAATTCCTTGGCAGATTACATATGATTCTATGCATTTCAGTTCCTATTTCCCATAAGATTTACTCTCATCACAATTTCCTTTCAATATTATTTATCCTTTCAGTATTACCTACAGTTTCCTCTACTTGGAATCGCCTCCTTCAAGTCCGACATCTTTATTTCTGCTGATAAAAACCTTTCTTACCTACCCGATTCTCCTCTGTCTAGGAATAGTAACTAACATAATTATAATGATGGGGTACTGAGCACTTACTCTGTGTCATAAAATGTTTTTTTTTCCCCTTTACAAGCATAGGATAGTGGTTAAAATCAGAGTTGCTAGACTCAAACTCCTTGGGTTGTCATTTGGAGCTTTATTTCTTTGATTCTGCAAACTTCTGCACCTTAAAAAAAACTTCCTTTCCTTTCCCTCCTCTGTACAATGGACCTAATAGTAATGCCTCATGAGGTCGTAATACATACAAAATGCTTGGTAAATAGTAAGGATCGTATGAATGTGTGTGTGTGTGTGTGTTTTCTCATCACAGATAAAGAAATTAAGGATTATAATTGAGCAATGGAATCCCTAAATGCATAGTCCTTCCATTTTATCATTACATTATTCTGACTCCAGGAATTCTTTAAATCTCTTCAGATACTTCTTATCACAGGCTAGCATAACTATCTCCTCATTAGGAGTGTTTTGGGAATGGAATCTATGCCTTTTTTATCTCTTTGATGTGAAGCAGACCTGTGAATCACCAGCTGGCTCCCAACATAATGATCAAAATAGTACTGATCCTCAATGATTGTGCTGAACAAATGACTACATTGGTATTAAGGTGCAGATTTAATATCTACACTGTTTCTTTTCCTTGTATATAGGAATAAATCAAAAGTTGAATGTCACAGATGAGACTGATATTTGAGACAGGGTATCATGATTTTAACTGGTATGACATATATGACTACCATATTACATGGTATGGCATGTATAACTACCATACTACATACTAAATAGTACATTCTATTTAGAACCACAAATAATTTTAGTAATATTCATACCTTATGGATGTTATTTTGTAACTACACATTCCTAACTTTGTGAATACATAATTTTATAAAATCTTTGTAACTACTGTTTCTAGATCGCTTTTACAAGTAATGAGTATGGTATGTTCGACCCTGTGTTTCTTTGGCTACCTACATACGCATAATAATTAAGAAGCACGAGCAAACAAGATGCTGTTATTACTTCCTCACTGACCCTACACTAACCCATCAGGACTTCATTCCATGTATGCAAGACCCCAAAGCCCTGGTCTAAAGTCCCAAGCCTGTTTCCTTTCTGGATTTTCATTGAGCTTTTCCCCATGATGACCAATGTGTTATTAGCATCAACACTCAGAAACCTAAGGGCAGTCAAGAGGCAGCTGTTTCTCATATGGGTCAGATATGGATGGAGTTTAGACGCATTTATTCTGGAGTGCCCATTTGTGTCTCTGTGAGGATCTCATAGTATGGACGCATTGGAAAGTGGGAAGGGAAAAGAACAAATAATGAACCAGAAGCCAGCTCCCACCTATGCCCCCCCATGCTTTCATTTTCTGACTCAGAAACCATTTGTTATCTATTTATATTAATTCTTTGAGAATGTCATATAGGCATACAATGTATTCTATCATATTCACCCTCTAACCTTCCTTCTCATTCCTCCAAGGTCTACTCTCTTTATCTCCATACCCTTCCAGCCTCATGTCCTCTTTTACTTTGTTTTTTAAAAAAAATTATAACCCAATTTACAATCCAATATATGGTGCTCTGGATGTGGGGGTCACCAACTGGAGTGTAGAAGACTTACCAGGGGCTACATCCTTCAAGAAAACTGGCTGTCCTTCCTCCAAACCATCAATTGTCAATGATTTTGCCGCTAGGAGTGGGAGCTTGTGAGTCCCTTCCAGTTCCGTGCTGGAATACTTACTGGCTTGATCTTGGGCAGTTCATGGACAGGCTGCTCATGAGTGCAGCAGTCTTGTCGTGGCTAGAAAACATTGCTCCATTCTGGTCTTCATGGCCTCTGGTTTGTAACAATTATTCCACCCCTCTTCCAACATGGTCGCTGGATGGGAAATTTTTGAGGCATCTCAATTGTAGCTTGGCAGTCCACTGATGCTTATTCTCAGTGCTTTGACCACTTGTACGTTTCTATATTTACTGATGTCCACTGCAAAAAGAAATTTCTCTGATGAGATCTTAGAGTGACATTAATCTATGGGTAGTGAGATAGTAATTCAGAGTACAGTCTAATCATATGTCCATTTAGCAAAATAATAGTAGTGGATTCACACCTGGAGCCTATGAGCTACCAAACATGGATTTGGGCCATATTTACTGTACCAGGTGTGTATTTCCTCCCATGAAGCAGGCCTTAAATCCAATTATAAAATGGTTGTTTATGCCAATAACACTTTTGCTACTATTGCAGTCATGGGCATATCTTGCCACTCTGATAGGGTCATCATTGTGTTTCACAAGGTTCGCACTAGGTAAAGTTTGTGGTGCCTTTTCTCCCCAACAGCTGCCTTAGCACTTTCTAGTACTACAAAGCTACCTGTCAAGGAGAAAGATTCCTGGTCATTGCCAAATTGATTTCTCTGTATCCTGTGACCAAAATCATGCTGTCTTCAGCAATCAATGGTTACTATTAGGTTCTGGTGGGTGATGGTCTAACAATAATAATTTTAAACTCAAATCTGCACTTCTAAGTCATAATGTAGATAATTTGTTAAGAACAGAATATAAGACATTTTGCCTAACTTGCTGTTAGCTTTAGTTACCATTAAGTATTTGGCTACTTAGCCAAATATTCAGGAATTTTACTTGTGTAGTGTTGTCTGAGATCCTGTTAACATCAAAGGCAAGCTTGCAAGAGATAATTTACCCACAGATATAACAAGAGTTTCTGTTCCATTGGTCTAAGAAGGTGGTGATATTAGTGGGAATGTGGTTGAGTACATTCATGCTCTTCTGTATTGTAGCTTAGATCAATATAGAAAAGTAGCTTTGCTTATCTTTCTGTAATCACTGAGAAATGACTAGCATAAGATAGTTTTAAAACTCCATTCTTCAGCATGACAGTCATCACATTTTTAAAACTTGCCTTTAAAATATTTTATTACATCTGTATATTTAGTGTGTATGTGTGTGTATATGTATGGGCACATGTGTGTCATGCTGCACTTGTGGAAGTTAGAGGACAACCTTTGAGAGTTGATTGTCTCCTTCTACCATGCTCGTCTTGGGGATTGAACTCGGGTTGTCAGGCTTGGCAGCAGACAACTTTACATGCTGAGCCATTTCACGGGTACAGACAGTTATGATACTGATTAGAAAAGAAAAATCTCCAGTTCTGTGCATTGTCCTAACAAGAGCCACATGCAGAAATGAGAAAAGGTTAGCTACAGAAAAAAAGAAATGTTTGTTGAGGTCCAGGAACCCAAGCAGAAAGGCTGTTTTCATTTTATAGTATGGAGGGGGATATTTTATCATCAACAGAAATGCCTGTTTGCCAAATCACAGTTTCAGAGATTTGATGGTGGAAAACCCTGTAAACACAGGGTCCAGCTGTGTTTCTACACCAATAAGGAAAAGCCACTTGCCAGTGTAAACTTGGACAGCATTGTTTTAAGGCAGTGGCTGCCTCTCTTATCAGAAATGTGCAGGTCAAAGAAGAAAGTGGGGAGGTCTCAAAACCCCACCTCTGTGTAGCAAGCAAACATTCTACCAGATTGGTTCCCGTGGTGCAGATGGACATTACGACTGCTAATAAATCTGAGGGGGTACTTGTGCTCTTTAAAGAGAGGAAAAGGAACTGTGTGGCTTTGTAGGAAAGGAAACTGTGAGTGAATCCAATCTACAGAGAAATCAATTTCACACGGCCATAATTCAAGGAAATGGGGTTGTATATAATGAAGTGGAAATTCACTTTGCTCCTTAAAATTTGAACTTTCTTCTTGGCTACTATTATTTTTGAAAGCAGCTCGGACTTTTTTCTCATCACCCTCTGCAGGCATTCTTGCTAAACATGGGAATCTATGAAACACGGACTCGCACTGTGACTCATTAGTATTGTTTCCTTTAACTTTTCTCACACCTCATCCTGCATCATTTCCCTTTTTTCAAGACCAAAAAAAGAGCAATAAAAAGAAATCAACATTTTAAAAAACATTGAACATGCATCAAGAAATATTCTAAATTCCTAACTTTTTTGCCTTGCCCAAGTGCATATTTTAGCATTTACACAGAAATTATGTTCAAATGCTGAATACTAGTCACACAGCAACATAGCCAGGACATTTCCATTTCTTCTCCTCTTGATGGGTTGGGGAAAGAGAAAAATGAACTTGCTCTCATTTCTACTTAAAATGAAGATGATGACTGAACCTATTTTAAATAGCAGTTGCATATACAACATCAATATATTTTTAAGACTATGTCCAGAACAAGAGAAAATGAGAAGCTTGTTTGACTTGTTTGATCCAGAAATTACAGCATCTATGGCTTTAAGAATGATCATTAAGCAAACATTTATGAATAAAGCTAAAATTTTATTAAGGAAATGAATGTTTTCAGGTACCTTTTAAGACATTCAGAAGTAAAAAAAAAAAAAAACAGCAGTTGAAGTGGCATAAGGGAAAAGAGAACAAAAATGTCACATTCTACTTCTCAAATCGAAATCACTAACCAAAGGATTACACTGTATGATGTATGTATGTAGGTATTTGTTGTAGAAGAAAGATTGAATACTTTAATATAGAACATACAGGGCACAATAGTAAGTAGAGAAAATTTCACCCTTGGAATGACTTCAGAAATCAGTTATCAAATCTCATCTGTCAAATAAAAAAGCCAAAGTCTATGGTGTGGTATCTTAAAGAGTGCCATACCAAATGGCATAGCTTAGGTGAAATGTCAAATGTTGGACTCCAAACAGGAGGCTTGAGACTTTGTGACATTGTCGTTAATGATGTTACTAGCACCTGCATTAACCAAGACTTACTAAATAACAAAAACTTAGAATTAGTAACTATCAATATTGATAAATACATGTACTTTTTCTTAAAGTAGAGAATACATGAAAATAAACTTGACTTCATTTATTCTCTCACTGTTGTATTTCTAGTGCAATGCCTATGTCATGTAGAAGACACTGGATCAAGAAAGAATTCATAATGATGAATTCACGTCTTTTATACACATGTCAAAATTCATCAAACTTTCTGAAATTCAATTTTATCTTTTATAAAATCATGTATATCTTGTTTAAATATCACAAGAGTTGGAAGTCTTTGTGATAATCAAATTAAATGGCATAAATGCCCAATGCCTACCACTGAGAAGACACACAGATAAATACCTATTTTTACATACTGTCTCAAGTTTAGATGAGATAAAATGCCTAACTATTTTTAACATACTGTCTCAAGTTTAGATGAGAATATAACATAAAAACAATAAGCAGCTAAGCCAGGCATGGTGATGCACACCTTTAATCCCAGAACTCTGGAGGCAGAGGCAGGGGCATATCTATGAGACTGAGACCAGCTTGTTCAACATAGAAAATTCCAGGTCAGCTGGGGCTAGAGAGAGATCCTGTCTCACAGAAAGCAAAAAGCAAACATAATAATGAGCAACCAAGTCATTTACTAAACAAATGTTAATGTTTTAATAATGCTGAGAAAAGTAATACAAATAGGGGATGAAGAGTTCATGAGGCAGCAAGAACAAGAATCAGAATGAGCGACAAGGCAATGACTTCATCAGGAAAACATTTCAGCTAGATTTTAAAAGAAAAGGAGTTGGAATAATGGAACTGGAACTGAACTGGGAGCCTCCTCTTTGAAGACTGGCTCTCATAGTATCAGAAGATACCATGTAAACTGCTAAGGGAGAAAATCAATCAATGGTCCAACCCCATTTGTATAGCTTAATAATCATAGCAATGACCAGCACAACAAATTATCTCTATATTATCTCTATTCATACAATAGTGGCACTATTTTCTTGGCTATGATCAACGGTTGTCTAATTGGATTTAAAGTTCCTTCAATGGGGGGAAACTCATGTAAGGTACTGTAAGCATAGCCAAATACACATGGCTAGAGATGTCATAAATCATAGAGAAAAAACTAAGTCTGTGTCTGTCACATTCCTAGACAAACATAACTTTTTTACTGTATGCTAAAATATGTATTCTTATATTTACAGACAAGTATACTTTTCTCCACTTATCAAAGAAGTTTCTTTTTGCAACAGATGAAGACTATTACAGAGTTCTACAGCTGGTCACACACAGAGAATAAGTGTCTGTGAGATGCCCAGCCCTAAGTGACATATCTGTAATGGAACCTCTACACCTAAGGCTTATGGAACATACTGGAACACAAGGTAGAGAGAATATTAATTCATCTCTCAACTCTCACCAGTGAAGCTTCCTCATGCAACAGATGAGGATAACACAGAAAACCACATTTTGCCAAAATCTAGAGAATAAGAGACTGCAGAATGCTTGTCCCTGGGTAGGGCTTCTCTATTTAACTTCATCCACCCAGGGTTCAGGAACCACTATGAAAGAGGGACAGAAAGACTGTCAGAGTCAGAGGTGGTAAATGACCACATGGAAACACAATTTTCCAGGCAGCTAGGAACTCTTTCATGTGAACTTACAGCAATGGTGACAGCATGCACAAGACCCATGCAAACTCAGTCAGACAAAAACCCAGCATAGAAATGGGGGAAATGTGTAAGAAGTCCCAACTTAGCCAAGGAACTATTGGCAACTGACCACTCCTGAGTCAGGGAGTGTTGATCTTCTTTAAGTGAGTGACATTAGATAGGCTGACCAGGCTCCAATGGATGAACTCACATCGAAAAACATCTGGGAATACAAACTTTACTTGATAGGCCTTAACATATATGACAGATTGCATGAAATCCATTGGCGGGAAGGACTACTGGGAGGTACAGATAGATTTGGTCTAAATATGATTAAGATGTATTATATGAAATACACAAAAATTAAATTAAAAAATTAAGAGTTGGGTGGTTGGCAGAATTTGTAGGCAAAGATGGTCTATGACTAAAAGACAAGAGCAAAGAAGGAATCATGCATAAAACATCTTAAACCTAGGAAAAACAAAGGAAAGTTCCTGGAAGCAATAAAAT